TATGCCGTTAGCCAATCTTATGAAGCGTGGAAAGCTTATTTCAAAGGTTGCTTTAAGCTTCAAAACGTTGTGGCTATCCAAGGTGCGTTTAAATGTTTTTTTTATGTTTTTTTAATGTGTTTTAATGTTTTTTTTTCAGGTTTAAAGGCATTTTTAGACGCAAAAAGAGTTGAAGATCTTCTCAAATTTTCTTTGCGTTCTACCAAGGGAATGAGGATGTTGGAGCAGAGGAGTCAGGAGAGGTGTTCAAAGCGCATGTATTGCTTTGTGGGAAAATGCAAAGTGCGCAAACTTGTGTAGTTTGTTAAAATACTACATTGGCAATTCTAACTAATACTATTGTGGAAAGAAAATAAAAACAGAAATCTATTGTGCTTAGCAGGAACTCATACAAGCTGGGAGATCGCTAATGTACGGATGGGTACTTTGTGCCTTGAACCCATATCCAAGAGTACGATCATGGTGGCTGACGGGTTTGCAGTATGAGTTTGGGTGGCAATATTGAATTGACACCCATGGATCAGTTGCAAAGATCTTGGTCAGATTTGCAAGATGGATTCAATATTTTGGGTGGGAGTTCCATGGAAACAAACATCAAAACCGTGAATTTTCAGATTTGGGCCAAAACCTTGGAGCAAAACTGGAGGTACAATTCATGGCTGCTGCTGACCCCGCAAAAACGGATTCGGTAACGCTCTCTCCTCTGAAACTTACTTCACAGCTCGGGCATGACGATCTCCATTAACTCAACCTCCCCTCGGCTCTGATCACAGGGCCCCGCAAGACTACCACCTTGAAACACGATTCGTCGTCTCAGTTAATCTTGAACATGCGCTTGAAAGTCGATGTGGTATGGACTTCTCGAGGAAATCACACACAGATCAAGGGATGAGGAGCCGGATGCCTTGGCAGCCATGATCTCTGATGACAAATCGGAGTTATATTTGTGCCGTCCATTGTCATAAGATCTGGAAGACTGTGTTTCTAGTTTTTAAATGTTTGTATAAGCTTGGAAACTTTCACTCGCAATTCCTTTTGAAAGCTTTCTTTAGTAATTCTCTATCTCCGCTAAAAAAATCTCCCTCATAGTGGTCAAGGGTATGAAATGGATGGTTTATTTTTTAGGATTTGTGGTGATGGTGCACTGAAATGGTATGACTTTGGTGTAAGATGTCAATAGTATCTTTAATGTTAGGATAAATGTCCAAATGATGGGAGAGCTTTTTTTTAATCTGGCTTTCTAAATATATCACCACTCAATTTAGAAGGGTAATATAGCGAGAGAAGCAGCCAAGAAGAATAAGGGCTTTTGTTGGAATTCTTGAGGAATTTGCAATGAGGAGATGAAGATACCAAAGAAGAAGAAGAAGAAGAAAATAATTAAGGCTAGGATTACTTGAGGGAAAGGACTCATAGATGGTAAATGAGTCATAAGATGATATTTAGGAAGTTGAGGATAAAGTCATGGATGATCGAAATGTATATAATACCTTAAGTTAGCTTTTATAAATGTTGGAACAATTTAGTGCACTTAAAGAACAAAATGATATTTTTATATAGGTGAGCTAGCGGGACATTTTGTAAAGATGGTCCTAAAGAATATGTAAGGATAACATAAGTAAAGAATATTATAAGTGAGACCACACCTTGAGAATAACTATGAAGTTACAATAATAATGACCATGGGATAACAAATCCAACTGTATGTTAACTTTATAGAGTTGAATGACATAGTCTTGAATTGTGGACAAGATATATTATAGACCATAGTGATCCATCTCAATATGGGATGATTTTCAAATTGAGATTGTTATGAATCTCAATAGATGGCTGAAAGTGCCAACCTTATTAAAATGTCCATAGGTTGGAGGGTTGTGTTAATAAAGTGCTAGTTAATATCATGGTTACCTATGAATGAGTTCATGGGAAATGCAAATGTTTGCAAATGTGAATTTTTCACTTTATTTTTCTGGGAATAAAAACAAAAAAAATAAAAGAACTCTAGTGAGTTTTTGGGAGCAATAGGTAATGTTTATGCACATTCTATTCCAAGAATATTTTATAGCTCATGCATTCTTTTGGGGATGGTAGATGCAAAATATGGCAATAGTAATGATAAGGAGGAAAAGACTCTGTGGTCGTGTGGCAAGAATATCAAATTACTAAGGTTCAAAGTGATATTAAGGAGGTTAAGGATTCTGTCAATCTCATAAAGGATTTTTTATTTTATA